TGAAACCGCACGCGCGCTTATACTCATGAGTATTCGCGAGTATTTCGCGGGTACTCGAGAGCGCGCACAGTCAAAGCTGTACACGTACGAGATGCGCCGTTTTCATTGATGTTACTGCGTCACAACGAGGTCGCGTTGTATTCATTAAACGTACCATAATTTTCTCGAGTATCATACATTACGCATACTGCAGAAACAACTACCATCCGCACAAACTTGTCTCTCTCTTTTTTTTCTTTTAACAGGTTTACTCGCAAGCTTGGAAAAACAGATTTCGTTTTTTAAACTGAAATACACGAGCACAGCATTATTGGGATATTTACTTTCTTTATTTTTGCAGAGAAACATATTATGAAAAACGTAACATATTCTAGGAGTGACTGTATAAGCTTGGAATAAATTTATGTTTACGTTGCTTTTCTGTTTTTTAATTAAAATAACAATTTCCCTCCCATAAAGAGAATGATAAAACTATTGAGGAGCTATTACTTTTTTAATAATAATTAAGGTTCAAACAAGGAAGGTTCGTGGAATGTTCTTCTTTAAAATGCTTTCGTTATTAAAGAGTTTATTAGATTACTTCCGAAGTTACGGAACTGGTATCGTGATGTTCGAAGATACTCGAAATTCAATTTAATGAGATAGATAAGGAAGTAGCCACAAATACCGAAATACGATGATATCACGAAATCAAGAAATCTTGAGATCCGTGCTATGTTTTTCTTTTTGCCAAGATGCTCGAACGACCCACTCATTTTATGTTCTACATTGCAACACGAGAAAATATCGAAACCGAATTCTCATATTTTAGGTGCATTCCCATTTGGCTCGTGAATCTTTTATTTCTACTTGAAGGCTTCGGTGACATGGAACGTACTTATATCTAAGAAGAAAGCAAAATGATAAAAAGATATTTTTATCAGTGAATATACCGTGAGAGTAAGAGAGGGGAGGGGGAAGGGACAGAGAGAGAGAGAGAGAGAGAGAGAGAGATCCAATATATGATCATTAAAAGAAAATTGCCGTAACGGCACGCATTATTATACGTGCACGTGTGAGAAACTTATAAAATCAAAGAAAGCCTATTTGGTTATTTTCGCGTTGGATTTAAACATAATTTAGATCTAATATAATGCAAATAAACGCAAATACATGTAGATTGACTGATTTAAAAACTTAACGCGATATTTTTTACCTCTATAAAAATTACTGTGGCGTAAAATTACAGTTCCATTATTCGTGATAAGTGATTAAACCATATGTGTAAATTGAATATATGTACTCATGCAGAAAAATAAATTGTCATCGCGCCAAAGGGTTCATCTTGATGTGCTGTTCTTCCGTGTTGCGCATGCAGATGAGATTTGCAAAAATCTAGCAGTACACTTCTAGAATTTCACTTTAGTTTCGCATTTCTTTAACTGCGCTTGGTTCTTTACCGCTACTCTTAATGCACTCGCGTCGGTTGATTAAGTTGTTTCTCGTTTCTCCTTGCCGAGTTACTTACCTAGGGCTGGGCGGAGCACCGTTATTTTTCACAACTTCGTTTACTTTGATTACCGGAAATCTGCATTTCGTCGCGTGCTATATGAAACGTCGTTATGCTCCGTACGAGCATATATTCACAATATGACCGTATGAACTCATGTGCTACAGTAACGAGCGTGTAAAACATTTCATTATCGTTATATATATATGTCGTTGTAGTGATATTTTAGCAATGAGATTACGTTTTGACTTAATATCAGTTAAAGTAATTATATGTTACCATTACTGGAAATTAGGATAAATTGAATGAAGTATGTGTTTATTTATAATAGTATCTTTATCTCTCCTAAATTACATTTAATTAAATTATATTTAATTAAGTTACATTCATTTAATAAATAAATATTAATTTATTTAAAATTTCAACACATCAATGTTATGATTATTTTGCTTAAGTTATTTTAGGGATTGTTATGGGAAAAGTCTAAATATATATTCTGATAACATATTTCGCTTTTGTGTTGATAAAATAATTAATGTTATCATATATATTATATTTTTATTTTATTTATGCAAAATAATGTATTAATAAGATTAATGATTAGAAAATCTTTAAGAGTTAAATTGAAAATTTTAAGAAGGATTCCTCTTTCACGTTTATAATTTTTAATTTATTTATTGAACACACAAGGACACAGTGCAAATTAACATCAGTATCGATTAATTTTGTTAAGATTTTAAACACGTATGCCAATGCGAAAATAGTTTATATTATTTTACGCAATTCTTTTTATAAATATAAAATACGAATATTTTAAGGAAAGCTTGGCGAGAGAGGCATAAGCAAGCGTCGACATATTAGGGAAGTCGCTACTGACGATTTAACGGATTACTGACGGTGGGACAAGAGAACCAAATGCGCCTCTGAGTAAGCCGATTGCACAGTCCACAACTGTAAGTGCAATCTGACTTCTCGAGTTTCATGTCCGGAAAGATCGACAATGTAATGTACGTAAAAGCGGAAATGTGTATTCTAAATGGTCACGGCTAATTGGTCATTGAGTATACGGTCCATTAATTCGAGATAAATTTGCATTAAAAGTGGCAGTTTCTACATGTTTTGTCAATAAATTGCACCTTCTCATTAGGAGATGTTGTATTATAATAATACATTAATTAATAATGCAAATATTAATAATATTAATAATGCCAATAAAAAGCCAACACAAATTATTAGTGTGTGAGCTTATTAACATGTCGATTTATGAGAATAATGGCAAACGTTTCGACCTTGCATTTTTAGATCATTCTCAGTGTATATTTAAATGAGATTTTTAACCTAAATCACGCAAACAATCTAACTGATAAACGAATTTTACAATCTGTGTATAAAATAATTGATGCTTTATTAAAGTATAATGGCTGGAAACTGAAGACTGAAGCTCCATAATGTAATGGTCTCAATTACTGAGTAAATTTATATCAATTATTTTATATACAGATTGTAAAATATGTTTAGTATTGTTTGAGATTTATATTTGAAATCTAAATATGCATCGGATGACCTAATACTGGATGACCTATACGTACAGGATGATCTAAAAACAAAGTCGAAATGTTTACATTACTCTTTTATATTAATATTTTAATACACTCACATACTAATAGCTTGTGTTGGCTCTTTGTTGGTATTATTAACATTATTAATATTTTAATTAATTTAACTTATTAATTGACATTAATTTTTAATTAATTCAATAAGTTGTGCGCAATAACATAATTTTTGTATCTTTGTGCAATATAGCGTAATAAAACGAAACAATATTCTCAAATTATGCGATATAAGTTGAAATATTTAAATTTGTAAAGCTTAACAACTTTAAATTCGGATCGTTAAAGCGAACTCGCTAATGGCTATGAGCGCGAATCGGCGTTACCGAGAAATTATCTTGAAGAAATGTAATTCCATGGTGAATTTAAACGCAAAAGCAGTTCGGTTGCTTTTGCGGCCTATCTTTAGGACAATCCTCTGTACAGTATCCTCGATTTTCTCAATCGTAAACCATCGCAGTTTGATTATATTTGGATATCATAGCGCATATCTGATCGGCTCATGGACAATTAGACGGAAACGCATTTCTAACCATTAGCTCGAAATGAATTCACATTTAGGAGGCCCAAAGGGCTGATGGGCAAACCGATCAGCAAATTCGATTTTCTCTGCGTAACCCGTCTGTGGATTATTAAACTTATCGATTGGAACGAAGGTTGTGCTATCGTAGGTAGTAAAGGGGAGAGGAGGGTCAGCATAGCCACGGCAGGTTACCAAAGGAGGCTTTAACTGCCCTTCGTGTTGAACAATCTCGGTCTCCATTTGTCCAGTTGGTTGACTGTCCCGATTCTATTTCTGTTCCGTTTTCTTTTTTCTCTGTGCCTCGTTATACGAAGTTATTTCGTGTGAATGGCGTAAGCTAATTGCTATTCTTTTTTCTCGAAATAGCGACGACGACGTTTTAAACGTTTTCTCTCTCTCTCTCTCTCTCTCTCTCTCTCTGCCCTCCCTCCTTCTTCTCTTTTCATGTTTCTCGGTCAATGGCTAGTACGGTAAACGCAATTGAATTGGAATTTGTCGTCCGGGTACACACCGCGTCTCATTAGGCGACCGCATTATACTCCCTCGGGTATCGACGGTATCGTGGTACTCACCCCTTGTCAGACCTGACGACGACGAGCGATGTATGCAGTAAGCAGTGCCTAGCGATGTTGACGGTTTTGTAATTGCGCAGTTATCGATGCTCGATTTACTCCGCCAGTGAATTCGCCACGGATGCGTGATTTAGAATTTTTCTATGGCGCTATTATACTCGAGCCCCTCGTACAGCACAACGTTACGTCGCACCGCCTCTCTCATGTCATGCGGAATTTTTCTCCTCCATGATGATACCCCTGTGCAATAACCCCGATTATTACGAGTACAAACGTCTCTATCGACTATGACAGATTTAAATGCAAACTAAGTATGTACGTGATATAGAAAATGTTTTTCTCCTGCACAGAGAGGATTCACAATTCTCGTGGCGTTCATGCAAATATTTTGAGTATTAGTTTTCGCAGTGGAGCCAATCGAACAATCCACAAAAGAAGAAACATGCTTGCGGTCAATGAATAATAAAATCGTACAATCTCTGTTACATGCTGAATAATAGAACTAGCTTAGCCGACACAAAACCATCGCGCATATTCCATCTATCGATTTCTATGATCTCGAATTCACAATCACTGTGCTGCTATCAATTAATCACGATATAAATGAAACAAGAATCCTGTATACGTACGTGCGTAGAGAGTATGATATTACCAATCGTGCTATATACCGCCCAATTTTTTATTCTTTTGAAGGAGGAGAATAAAAGCATTTCTATATTTTTTTTTTCACAACAGTACACACGTGTTTACGAAACTGCAAAATTTCTAGATGCTAACAATGTATGTTTCGTATTGCGCTTTTCCAGAGATCCCGGGCAGATGGAGAAGGCATTGTCCGCACGGGCCGATGATGTCGGGCTCCGGCTGCAACCTGGTCGGTGAGGGAATCGCGGACGGAAACGTGGCGGCCGCCGGCAAATGCGTTTGCGGTCCGTCGGTGCCCTGGTGCCCGGGTGAGCCGCAGCCCTACATGTACATGACGCGGCACGAGTGCCGGCTCAATTTGGAGGCGAAAATTGCTTACGGTAGGACGCATTCATTCCATATGCGAGCGCACTGCGATATACCGCGGTACCGCGCGATGCGATCCGCGTGTTCCGCTGCGGCAGCACGATAATGCGCGTCAAAGTGCACTAATGGCGAAATTAATTTCACGCTCGATTCGTCAAATGGCGCGAGTTACACTCGTCTATCGTTAGGGGAATCGGACGTAATACGGAGAGTAACGCGGGACTATCAATTTTAATTATCCCTCTGCGCTCATTAGAGCCAGGGAGGGGAAACTTGTGTAATCGATGAAAGTTTGCACGCGCTTGTTTAATACGTGTATATAATAATTTGTAAATAATTTGTTCTGATTTCTTGCATCTCTTTGGAGACGTTGCGGTCAATGATCGATGATGGACGGAATAGTTGAATGAATCGGGGAAAGCAAATATTTGAATAAATCAAATTAATAAGAGGAAGAGTCAATACAGTCGAGATCTTGGTGTTTGATAATATTTTAATATGTAAATTTCTAAATGTATCTTTTAGTTATAATAAACTGCGTATCATTTTATTCGCGGACTTGAAACGTATTCATAGACTAAAGCTGAAATAATAATACCACAATTAGTCAAATTGATCGTCGATTTGATAATAATGTTACTAGTATCTCAAAACATTGCAAATAAACTTAGTGCGAAAAATATTACCTCGACCAGAATTCGAACTTAGAATCGCCTGACTATCTAGAATGGGTGTCTTTTCCAATTCCACCACTGAGGCATGTTATTACAATATTTTACATTTATAATTATTTACACATTTTACATTTATAATTATAATATTATTACAAAGATAAGAGATAAAGTATAAATTTTTTTTTTATAGAAAATCATAAAAAAATTATTAATTGGATTTCATTTTTGAAGATATAAAAAATATATATAATCCAAAATACAATATTGTTACATCCGTTCATTTACTGCATCGAGAGAAACGAAAACGATCTGCAGATATGTTTGGCTGTTTACTATGTTTTTAAGCATTTCCACTCGTCCGAATAAATTTCTCAATGAGTATTCATATCATATTGATGAGTTCACGAACCGATCGCGGAAATATCTTCAGTGTATATTTGTGAGTTATTGCAAACGTCAATGTTTATTTACTATTACATTTTTGCTCTCTTAAAGTAACCATGTCACAAAGTTTCTGTTTGCTTTGCGTTGTTTATCTAGCGTGCTACATTTACGATAGGAATCACTGACATGATAGAGAACGGAATCAGTCTCGCGTAAAAAGAAATGACGTCGTCGTCGTCGTTTTTCCGAATAAGATCAGGGATAGAGATCGTCCGTATTGTGCCACATGAATATCTTACACTGCCGCGTACTTGCAATAATCAATACAATTTTTAGGCCATGAGCGTCGTTGTGAAAACCATAAACATTTATTTGGTTAACAAAAGTCGTTTGCCTGGTGCCAATAGTGCATTTGTTTTAAACTCAATCGCTATTATTTTTTAAAAGCACTAAACGCTTTAAAAAAATATGCGAAATCTATTAGACGCATCGCAATTTCACCGATACGATTAATTAAATGTGCAAGCAATTACGACCGGTTGTTTATTTCGTTACCGTTAATCTTTTTAATTCAGAACCTTTATTTGCCACGAGAGAGCCTTGTTTTTCTCTTTGTTTTTTTAATGAATTATTTCTGCATGATATTTTCTTAAAAATGTTTTTTAAAAGTGTTTAAATGGAGCTCGAATTTTCGGAATGAGACTTCTTTCTCTTCTTCGGATGGACTTGTTTGCGTTTATATTACAAATAAAAAGTAAAAAGTTGTTTGCGACTGGGAACCGGTTGGGAGCGAAAAAGTTAAAAATTGACAGTCATCATTCGCGCTGTATAGTTTTATCGCTTGATATTAATCGTTGTATTTTTATCATCGGTCGTTACTCCAGAAGGGAGTGCCTTTTTGGCTGTCTTCTCTCGTCAACGCAGCTAGTGGATAAAAAAGCGAAACAGTGGCAAGGTGAATGAAATACGTGAAACTACGTTGGGCAAACGGCGCGGCGTTAATAAAAAGAAAACATAAATAGTGTCGGAGGTGAGGACAACGACTAAGAAAACGGAAAAACTAACTGAAGAGAGTACAGACGGTATGTCGGTAATGAGAAAAAGACACAACTACAGGCTACGTTCGTTTGTCATCGGTTCCGTCGTTCCTGATTAAAACACGCAAAAACAACTATCATATGAGAGAGAAAATTGTGTTATTCCGTTAAAACTTTGAAGCGACTTTTTATAAATTTCTCTATTATCCAGCGCGATTTCCGATATACTGTAGTCATTCCTATATAATAACTAATTGAATTTTATCTATTATAATGTCTCCTTTTGCTCAATTACATTAATATCGAGCATCTTTTTAGAAAAATATTCATGATCTTTTAAAGCGATAATTCCACCATCAAAAAAATTGATATTTCTCATTTGTCTAATAATAGAAAATAAAATAATATTCTCTATATTTCACTTTCATTGAAAGGTAATTTATACATTTTGAAGATTCATACTTTACATGTATGTATTATATTAATATATAGCACATACAATGTTATAAGCTGACTGTCATGTGCATTCGATTTCTTTTGCTGTCAGCGCCAATAATTGTTCATGCATTGAGAGAAAAAGTGTTGGTAATGATAAATTGACAACTCTGAAATTTAAATGTCTGCGACTAGTTTTACAAAGTAATAAAAATTAAAGTAGTACCGAATACTATAAAAAATACAGTCATGGCAACAATATTTGTCAACTATTAATGGATAGTGAAACAGCGACTCAACTATATAAACAGTTACATAGACTTCGTATAAAAATTTGAGGATACGTCGTAAAAAGAAAGAGCGACCGTAAATAAATGAAATAAATTTCAAATATGTAATAATATTATTTATTTGTAGTAAATGGTTAATATTACTTAAATATTTTCTTAGTTTATATAACTTGCTTATTGTTATTTGCCCTCAAATTTCTAGTTGCTGATACAACTCTTTTTTCAAGTATGTTGAAAGAAATAACTGCGTGGTAGACTCCATAACAGTTATGATTAGAGCTCTCATCCGGAGTTGCTCAGAATCAATAGTTAACTCGTTCTTCTTTCGAGTGCAACTTCTATCTCGACATAGTGCGGTGTTCAACGTGTAACGAGGTTGTTGGTGAACGAGTAACAAAAGTAGTTACCCTGGACGGTGCAGAAAGTTAAATTCGATTCGTTGAGAAAAGTTTAATCGCGTACGTTCTATAAAGGTAGAAGGCAGACGGATTGTTCTTTTGCCAGCGAGTTAAGTACACGAGTAAAATCCCTAAGTCCAAAAGAGGAACAAAGGAACCAGCCAACCGAATCCGTTTCGTTGAACCGAGGCATTTCCGATGTACCTGAATGACACTTTATAAATTAAAAGTGAATCGCGTAATGTTTTTTTTAGATGAACAGATATATAATATTACATTTAAATTAATATAAATAATGATTGATTACACAATTATAATACAAATATAAATATTTATTTATAGAATATTTTCTATTCCTTCAATCAAAATATTTTATATTTTATTATATCAGAAATATTATCTATGTATGATAATTATCGAATACATTAAAAAATAAAATGAAATGAAGAATGAAACGGAGAATTCTAGAATGTGTTTAATTATCATGTAGATTTATTATTGAGGATTAAATCACTGATAATGGTACGAAATATTTCTATTGTCATTTTTCGCGCACATTTTTATTGTGTTTAATGATGAATAGAGAGTATTTTCAGAGTAGACATCATTTGAAGCAGCTAACTGATTTGAATAGAGACATTTTAGTGTAGTGTCATCTCCCGCAGTGAAATAAACTGGTGTTTGGAACGTGCCGTGAATTTCATTGAACCTCATTGAAAGTAATTGTCTCCCAGTTAATTGAGTGCAATGCCCGATATTGTTCACCAACCACGATAAAAAAATCATTGATTTCGTCACGGGTGTATTACACCTCGAAATGCAATGTACAGGAAATTGCGTGAAATACGGGATAGAATAATAGGTACACAGTGTACATGGAATTGTATTGTATGTCTATTACGTTTATATCGGTATTTACGAAATACATTTATAGCGAAGATTTTTCCACGTAAATTTCCATTTAAAAAAAACCAAATCGCATTATATTATCTAGAATAACTATTGTACTGATTTTTAATAAATTTATGGTTTTTTAGATTCAATTTTCAAAGATAAAGATAATCACACGAGAACTATACATTTTTACCGATATCAAATGTGTGTTTTTTTCTATAACTCTTTCTAAAAATATTAATATATATGGAAATTAATTTTACCTTCTCTTTTATACTTTTAATCTAGGAAATTAAATGCTGTTATATTAATAAACACTTCACAATAATAATATATTCTCGAAATAATTAACAACTTGATTTACATGTGTCGAATTTGCAAGTATTTTTTTATTTTCTACGAATAAATAATGGGTTAATAATGGAGTTGCTTTTGACATATATACATATACATTGCTTAAATTGCTCGTTGCCGCGGCCGACCTGTCGTTAGCAGAAATTAATTCGTTTAATAACGCGTGCGACGTGAATTTACTCGACTAGAAGTTTAGCGCCGACATCCACTTCCCAACACCTTCAATTTCAGTTTATGTTGGGCCATTATGCCTGATTCATTTTATATATCTATAGCCTAACAACTAGTTATCGAATACTCGTGGTAAACTTATTCGATACGCTAATCTATGGAATATGAAGGGAATTGCGAATTACATTACAGGAACTAATAAAACTTTAATAAATACTTAGCAAACTTAAATTAAATGCCGTGTGGCAAAAATTCGTTTGAATAGGTTTTCAGTCCGCAATTGGTGTCAGAACGTTTGATTCAAAGCATCTATTGAATAAATCTTTAATTGTTAGAACGAAAAAGATTATTTGTTCCTTGAAAAAGTTTCAATCAATTTTTGCGTATCTCACGTCAGATGTTGTGTTTATATTTTAAATGGCAAACTATTACAACTGGATTGTTTCCTTTACAATTTATTAGAACAAATAATCGCGAGAAACTTTTAAACTTTAGAACTTCGTTTTCAAAATTATAAATAAACTTTGCATCTCGCTTATAAAACTGATGATGCTATTGGAAGTAGTGCCGAGTAGGAAATTAATACATTTTTCTTTTAACGATAAAAAGAGTTTATGTTTTTTTTTTCTTTTTTCTTCTTATCTGATTCATGTTTTCATTTCTATTGGAATAATGTGACTGATTATTTCAAAACTTCTTGAAAGAAAACGCAATCAGTTTTTTTACGCAGCAGGAATATAAAGGTGCGCTTTACTATTTCACACTTTTGTTTCTGGATTCAAAATATCTTTATTCGTCGCAGAATGTTAGAGAATGTAACATCGAACGAAAGCATTTATGAAACATTCCAGAACGTCCTTCGATCCTTTATATACTCTTGGCAATTTCTTCGTTCATAAATACTCCTCTCACGTCCCGAATCCAATCACTTTTTACTCTTATAGTATGGCGAAACAACGTAAAGTCATATTGTCAGAAGTGCTGGCTCGGCAAGGTCTTAAGAAAACCTTTGGATCTTCACTTTGCTGCATACAGAATTTCGAAGGGTGCACGAGTGTCCTTTGAGAGAGCCGGGCACGGTCAATTTTGTTCGTAAATTCTTTTTATGTAAGCAAAATGATCCTCGCAGCAGTTTGGATTGACAACTGGAGATATCACGATACAGAAAATCAATATGAACTTTAAAATGTAGCTGCTATAAATATTGTAAGAAAATAAATTAAGTATACATAAATTTATAAGATAAGAGATAAATATGTAAAATAGTTTTTAAACCGGAAAAGAGACTGAAATTGTATATTTGCGGTCTCTGCAGATGAATTAAATTATAAAGAAATAATTTTCTCAGAAAATTATTTCTCTTCTTATCATAAATTCATGAATTTTTAATTAAATATGTCAGAGTGCATGAAAAGTAGTCTGAAATTGGAGTATCTATTATTAGATATCTTTTAACGACGAGATGTCTATCTTTATCCAGCCGGGTTTTGGGTCAGAGCACCGCGATCGTGAGAAAACGATTCCCCAACGTTGATTCTAGCCTGGTTTAGACATTAGACTACGCAATCGCGCCGATATAAACACGAGGTCAGATGTGATCGAGTGACGTACTACCAATCGCTTTTGTACGCAGTCAAGTCCAATCTAAAAATGTCAGATGTCCGACGATCTAATTGTGAGGGACGAGGATGTGGGAGTGTGGGATTACGAATACCAATGTAGTCGTGCTGGTGCTTTATAGTTTTGTACTCTTCAACAACCAGTAACTTAATAATTGGGTCGTTACAGGAACGCTTATTGATCTTTAGATTCAACTTAATCCCCGACGGAGATCTTCGTATGCACGGTTACGGATAAATTATAAAGCTATCTTTGGAACAGAAATGAAATCATTAATTTCGTCGAAAGCTATACCTATTTATAAATTAACGGCTTGGAGGTGTATAAGATTAGCAACGTAAATACAATTAGCAACAATGCGTGTAAACAAGTTAAAGAAAAACAATATAAGCGGATGCTTCTTTATCATTCATGTGTCTCCTCTTTTCTCTTTTCTTCCTGTCATCCTTCTTCTCTAATCTATTGAAGTAAACGGAAATAAAAACATATGAGATAAATTTGAAAATAACTATTACTTTTGTAAAATAACGATTCTTAATAATCTAAATTTATTATTTTTATAATTAAGTAATCTATAAATACATTTTAGATGCATTGTTAAATTCATATGTCAAATTATATCCAATTTGGAATATTTTTAATCAACTCTGCAATTACTGTTTTCTACCCAATATATCATTAATTTAACCAAAATAATAGAATTAAATTATTTATCTCAAGAAAATGTATTAAATTCAAATTGATTTTTTCTAAATGCATAATATAGATGTTGTAACATGGATATTATTTATTTTGAAACTAACCACCGAAATGAATTGATTTACATTTTGACACACATGGATGTTAAAAATAATAATAAAGCGTTTTGCGGGTTTTCTCCGTGTCCAGATCCATTCCTTGGAATGCCAACATTTCGTGACTTTGCAGTTCACTTCATCAGGGCAAGATTTTTGTTATTAATTATATTTTTTTTAATTCAAGGAATTGGATTACCATTGTTCCTTTGATATCCAACAGTGTGAGAAAACATAGTTCACTTTATACGAAGTTCATAAATGAATTTGTTAAATATTAAATATTTTTTAATATAATTGCTTTGTTGTTTTATATTACTGTTTTTTACATTTTATATCAATAATCAACGCAAAAAGATACTAGACTATATTTGTTTAAAAATTTGTTAACGTTGATTTTATGTTTACTACGAGTATATGACGTGAAAAGCTGATTGGATGGAAGGCGAAGGGCAGTTCCGACTAGGTAAATATTAATAGTAAATATCGTAGCGGTCGTCCGAGGAAAATTACTCCGTGGATTTGCCTGCACTTTCGAATAATCCGATATTTGCCCGGGACTCGCGTCGATGTTGCGTAAAATTTACTCGCTATATTAAACGTCCGGCGGCAATCCATTCGGATATTTATATAACAAACGTTTGCGGCAGCGCGAAATATTGAATTGCTCATCCCTAAGCAAATTCATAATCTATAACGCGTCGGTGCCCGCAATAGCGGTGATATTTAATAAGACAAGGCATTTATAGAGCGATCATTTACTACGCATCTAATTGAACAAAAGAAATAACTGGTATTTTTTGCAGAATATTGTCAGGCTCTTAAATGTCCATATAAATCTTTAAAATTATTTTTTATCGAGTTTCAAGAAATACTACTGAATACAGTAATTTGCGTTCAATATGATGCAAATGCATTTCAATATAGATATATGTAGAAATACAAAGGTATAATTTTCAGTGAGAAATGTGTCTTTATCCTATTCTTATACTTTCACACATTTCTTTCTCGCATATTAACTTCTTTCTTTTTTACAGTCTCTCGTTCCGTTACTTTTTACATTGTCCATCATCAATTGATTCTGACTAATGCAATCTTCTTTGTGAATTCATTCTTTAATCAATGCCAATTACTTGACTGGATGACACGCGATTTGGTATTTTAATAGAGCTAAATTGCATTTACGGCGCTGGTCATTACGGAGACGTAATTATCGAAGACTGAATTACTTTACTTGTTAGCAGTTCTCGATCGAACCGAGTCGTTCGGGCACCCCCGATCGCGAAATAATGGACGTGCCTGAGAATGCTATCTAAGTTTAATCTAATGAAGTGTTTCGCAAGTACTCGTTAATTAATTCATGCCCAATATCCGTCTACCGAGAAGTACCACCGCAGCCGATAAACTTCTAACTTCTGTTTCAGATGACCTCTATAATTCTGGCGACACGCCGAGTAGCACCGCCATCGAGGGTAAGTTACTTTCAACCAATTCCAGAAGTTTTCACGAATGGGCGGCTTTAATTGAGTATGTTTAGTATTCATCCGCTATCGTGTTTAAGGGATTAAAGGGAAATTATACGAGTCCGCGTTCCAACAGTGAACTACGCGCGACTCTTCCTTTGATACTGTATCGTAGCTTCAGCAGTACTTCAACTCTCAGCATTAATATATGTATTTACCGTTAACAAACGTTAACTAGATCGAAATTTTCAATGGTAGATAAATATGTGATGTCATCCTGTTGATCGATAAGAAGAACTTTAAAAAATTTCTCGTCCGCGAATGTAGATTATTGTTAATTTGAATATAATATATTCTTGATTAAACAAAATAAAATTTACCACTATATTATTTACTTAATATAAATGCAGCTACATTAATGTATCTATTCTACGTTTATCGGATTTTTTTCAACAATGTTTTTATGCCAATAATTCGCCACTCTGTTCAATCATATTAGAGAAAATGCAATTACTAAAAAAATATTTTAAGAGATTTTGGTCAAAAGAACAAGAATCTTTCTTTCTTATTTGATTGACAATTTCTTATTTGATATTTATCGACATCCGTTTTATATATTATTACAACTATTAAAAAATTGTCTCCAGGCCTCTGTATAATCAAACATTACTGCTAATTATTTTCATACCTCTATGATTCTCATATTTATGTTTATGAAATAATTATGTATAAAAAAAATTTTTACCAAAATACTCGAAAATATTTACTCGTCTTAATTAAAATCACATGAAAGGTTTATAAAGGATTACAAAACAGACGATAAAATATTTGAGTAATATAACATTATGACTATAAAATTATATTGTTAAATATTTTAATCGTATCAGTTGATGAGTTTTATTGCCTTTTAAGCGATTAAAATTTGTTTTCTTGAAACGGAACGACGTTAAGATATCGTTTAAATGATACTGCGGCTAAATAGAAATTGTTCTCCGCCACTTTCCCCGATCTCAGTGCTCTTCACGCTGCTACTAATTACATCTCTTATCGGCACTACACATCTACCATGTTCTTCGGGACGACGCTAGGTGCACAAGGAAGTGGATAACCGCCACTACCGGCAATGCAAGAGTTCCATAAGTGACTCAATGTGGAATTAAATTATTTTGTAGAGATCGCGGGGAAAGGTTCGCGAGGGTCAAGCATCAGTATTAGAGGCACACGAGATGGGGAAGGTATAAAATTTAACAGTTCGAAAGTTCCTTCCATCTGCCCTTTGTCCTTTTTGTTTCTTCTTTTTCTTCTTCTTTATTGCGAAATAGGAAGAAGAAAGTAGTGAAGATAAGAACTTCCCTTTTTTGGATAGTTAGCCTATATCGCGCGGTTCTGTAACAAAACAGCGCGAAAAGAAGGCGAACTTCGACGATGCGCCAAATAGTCGTAACAAAGGAGGAGACCCCGCGTAAACCGCGGCACATTTGCGGCGAAACTTTTCACAGAGAATTTCCGACGCGGTCGGGTGCATTAAAAAATTACACTTTTGCGTGTGTTCCGTGAAATTGAAGTAGCAAGGTCGTTTTCCGTTTTTTTTCTTCGCTTCAGGCTCGTATCGCATCGGTACTGGTCGGTTTCGCGTCACACTTGCGTCACTTTCGAACTGCTACTTGTTAAAATTACGTGCAGGAAGTTTTATCGATCGTTCATCTAAATTTCGAGATAAACGAATGGCACTACGGCACAATGACAATCGAGAAAATAAATGGTTAGACTTCTTTTATCAGACTTCTGAGATATTAAGACCAGATTTTCTCTGAGATTGCAGGATATTAAAAAATCTTCAAATCTCACTTTTTTTTTTTTACAATTTGATTCCAATTTTCTTTTACTGTTTTAATAATTTAAGATTACTTTTTCCAACTTCTTAGCAAAATGGACAAATTTTTACCATCGCGCCACAATTCTTCCTGCGAATGTTACATCCGTATTAACAAAACCGTAGTATATTTATCACTCTAAATCGCAAAAATCGAGTTTGTTTCAAAAGTGAGAGAACGATTACATTATTTCGTGTAGTTAAGAGCCAAGGGCGATTTAATTTATCGGGTGGTCTTTCAGACGAGTGATAAAAACTTCCCCAGTTGCCGCTAGTCATCGTGGTTGCCGTCGAGCGGCCGTTTCCAACGAGTTTTCATGAAGAGTTTTCATGGGTTGGTTGCGAATGAGAGTAAAAAGAGTAATCGCGGCAAAGTTCGTCAATGGAATTGTATTTTGGCGCGGTGTTTTCACCTAAAGTCAATGAAAGCATATGTGTGACAAACAATGTACTTCATCAAATTTAGCGAAATGATCTATGAATGGAATTCCTCGGGACAACTTTTCTTTCGATTAGTGTCAATGTTAATACTAAAGTGCTACGTTATTAAGAACGAAACGAAATCAAGTGAAAAGCTTTGTTCCAATACCTGAATATCCTAATATACTAAAAGCACGGTATGATAAAAACGGAAAAGTATAAATAGTCTCTTTCTAAATGTCTAAGCCGCTTCGTGCACTTCATTCTGTTGAAGGTATATTCTTTGAATGGAGTCGATCTGCTTCGTAATACCGGGATATCGTTTTTCTCTTCCTTGTTTCTGAACAATATGTTTCCCACAATAGAGAAACCATTGAATATTCTGTGCTTTTTTCTACGCGGAAGACATTTTGTCTCAGATATCTAGTCGTTAAGTCTTTCAGTATCGGCTTTTTATCACTTTTTGAAAATTTGATTATTCCATAATCTGTACGTAGCTGCAGAATTTTTAAGAAGTTTTAGATTGGCATTAATTCTGATTTCTACATTTATTCGTGACTATGAAATCGCGACAATTAGCAAAAAATGCATTCTTTCGCAAATAGAGATATCGAAAATTGATTTCATTAGAATTTCAAATAATTTTTTTTATCAATTAAAGAGAGAGATGAAGGAAAAGAGCTATGTAAGTACCATAAATTTCTAATTAAAATTGTCAATGTTTGAGTAATTTTATTGATAGAGAATAAATTCATATTTTTATTTAAACGGAAATTGTATGTTAGAATTCTATCGTTCTATGCTTTTGATGAAGGATGCTAGAAGCAAATGGATTAGCACAGCGAAAACGTGACGAAAGCCGCTGCTTTGGAACAATCAAACTCGCAAGCGCGTATATCCTTCGTTTTCTCGAATTACAAAAGTCTACGAGATGTGCCTTTCACGAACTTTCTCGAGGATCTCGGATATCCTTGAGCGGCAACCTACCTCGGTAGTTTCCTTTTGATTCTATCCTACCAGCTTCTATCCGAAGCGCTATTTTGAAGCGCCTCTTTCTCCCGCGACCCTTTTTTCCCCGGACGCTGCTCTCTCGTCTACGTGTTATTAAATAAACTTGCCCGCTGTCTCTCTTCCGAGAAAGGATTCTTCGGTAAATATGGGGCTATGACGCGCCAGCAACGTGCAAACATTGGCAAACTTTAATATCGTCCGAGCGCGGGCATAATATAACATATTTTATTAAAGTGCCCTGAAAATACTGTGCCGTTATACAGAAAGTTTTCAGGTAACTTGGTAATGCTTATTCCAAGTCATTCTAAAATACAAAAAAGTCGAAACTATTTGGATTGCAGTTATTAGAAATTTAGCAACGCTATCGGCAAATAAAATTTGTATTAGCTTTTACTTCTCTAACGTATAAATTCCATGCTTTTGAGTAAAAATTTTAAAGATGAATTATTTCATAAATTTATATGGGAAGAGTTCTATAAAATAATATTTAATATTTAAAGGTCTAATTTTATCGTTATATATTGATGTGTGGTTGGAGCAAACAATTAATCTAACGAATTAAGAAACGAGTCAATAGTATATGATACGAATTATAACTTTTGATTATTTTTGCTTTCGGTGACGATGGAGGTAACTCGAAACCCTAAAGTAACTTCAAATCAAATCAAATGTAATAAGAGAGTTGCAATATAACACATTATGATGGTGCTTCCGCGGATCATCTTCGAGTTTTATGTTTTCTCGTAGCGGCAGCAATGAGAGCGGGTAATTCTTAAGAAGGACGAGGGAGGAAGAAACGCGGACAGAAAATGGTATTCGCGCGTACAGATCTTGAGCATATTTGCCTTGATAAAACGGATAGGTTGTCCCGAGTTTTCGACGACGACGGTGCTGTTTATTCCAGCCAGCCGCGGTTATGGAGAAAGATATCCGCGGATAAAACGCGGACAAAATGCGGTAGAGGAGAAAGGGAAAGAGATTCGATATCCACTTCAATGTAGGAAAATAGAAATTGAGCGAAGTAACAAGGCGCCGGGGGCCACGTCGTCGTCGTCGTCGTCGTCGTCCTATGGAACAGAGAACGATGCGCTCGCTTTTGGATTTCTTGATGAAAAGCGAGTGACGTCGCCAGATGGTAGTTTATCAAAATGATATCCCTTTCCCCCATCGCAAGTCCTAACTGAGAGTAAGATTAAACCGGCTCGTTCGAGAATCTGTCAAGAGGAGGAGGAATTCTATCGAAATATTTATAATGTTCCACGCTTCAACGTCGAAATGCCGTCTTGTTGACAGGTGAGCGCAATAGATACGTCGACAATGGATACGAATCGATGCGAGAATAAAGATTGCCTCAGATTTATAGCCTTCGCTCTCTTCTAAAATTTCATTTGTCGACGTAGAGTGATAGAAATTAATGACGGAGCAAATTTAATTCGACGTATTATTGTCCTCGCGATGCAGAGATAAATATTATTTTTTAAGTTGGCAGATACGAATATGGGGACGTGGAGAGTCGAACGGAGGTTCTTATGTAACGATCTAATATAATACGTCAATTGATTAAATTTCTCGACTGATCGCATTTTATATATGTCAGTTGATGTTGGATGGAAGACTGTCGAATAAGGCGACTGTGAAATTTAGTCGAATTAATTTTTTTTCCATTACTTGTTACGGGCCTAAGTGGATCGTGAGACTCCACTCG